ATATATATAAATAATGTGTTGCTAAAGAATATGCGGTCAGTAAAAGAGAACAGAGGGGTAACTTGTCAGTATGGTGCTGCTCTTTCACTGTCCAATAACAGGTTTGAGGCAGGGAGATTACCTTACTGTGTTGCTTAAGTGTACTAGAGAAAATTCTGACAGAGCTGTGTAAATCTCAGGACTGGACGGAGAGAAATAAAAATCCTTTCACAGGTAAGATTACTTTTATTAGCATTTCACCCTTCTTGCCTGGAGCTCAGTGTTAAAGATGAACTCCAGACAAACAGTTAAATACACAGGTAAATCAGGAATGGACAGATTAAAACTGAATTCAGGAGCCAGTCTGTCCAACCCAGGAGCTAGCAGGATTTTTGTTTCAGGAGCCAGCTCCATTGACAAGAGAAAAAACAAAAAAGATGTCAATTTTAAGGAGCCCTGGCTTCTACGATTTGTCCAGCCTTGGGCGTGAGGTCCAGTTCACACCATATATGTTTCAGCTGTGCTGGCCATATTTTCCAGCGCAGCCCGAAGGCAAGACAAGGCAATTTGCCTTGTCACGGGTGGTGACAATTCACACCACAGCATTCCGGTAGTGTGTGAAAAATAGGGCATGCAGAACTTTTTTTTTTTAAGCACTGCACAGTGAGACATAGTACCACTACATTGCACAGTGGTGAGCCCATAGAACTCAATGAAATGTCACTTGTGACATTTCAATAAAGTTCTAACAAAAAAATAAAACAATGCAATGCGACCCGATCGAGCGCATCGGCACTATCTGGGCACACGCACACCAGCAGCCGTGAGGTTGAATATGGCTGCTGGTGTGAACAAGCCCTATTACATATAGAAGTACTGTTTTAACTGCCAAATAATTTGTATTTCTGCACAACCAGCTACGAGATTTACACAGCTCTGCCCCACAGCTCAGCCCTGTCTAGTGGGGGAGAGGACCTGAAGTCCCCAGCACTCAGTACTTGAAGGTGCACTGTGTCGCCCTGAGGAAGTGACCCTGCACAGCTCCGAAACATTGGCTTATTTTGACTGATGTGACTGGTGGCAACTTCTTATTTTCATCTGGCAGTGGCGGGCACCAGCTGTCAGAATACAATAGCCTAGCAGAGAAGATTTCCCCATTTATGCTGCTTAGTGTGGATGGGGGAGTCGAGCGGAACTAGAAAAAAACAATGCGTGTATGGCCAGCTTAAGAATGCCATCTGCCTGGAGTCAGAAACAATGAGGGGGATTTATTAAGTCTGGAATCTTGGGTATAAAATGCTTATAAATAGACCCGTAGGTGCTGTAAGAAACAAACTGGTAAACATATTTTGATTATTCAGAAACATCACGGATATTCGGAAAACACATCATGCACATTTTATACCTAACAACCGTCTCCTCCTCCTGGTAACTAGCTGTTCACATGTTTGCAAAACAAAAAAGTCTGCCAACGTGAAAAATGCACAAAAAGTATACAAATGTGTGCAAGAATCAAACAAAGCTCATGCCCTAGTTTGATTGGGGGGCTTATGTACACACATTTTGGAGGACATGAGACACCAGACCTACACTGGGTGGGGTACTTGGTAAATATCTGCTGTAATAAAGGGGGGACATAATAGAATAACACTGAGTGACCGTTTCATAGAAGACTCCAACATTTGAAACCCTTGCCCCTTCTGGGCACAGAGGGTCAAGAAGAGTCTCTGACTCAATTGACACCTGAGTGTTTTGTTGTGCGATTCCCAAAGCGCATCAACGCTCAAGATGCAGAATCCCATTATTCTCAGTGGGCCTGTTCACTAGAGCTGCAGCTAACGATTATTTTCAAAATCGATTAGTTAGCCGATTATTAAGTTCGATTAATCGGATAAACAATAAAATACATTTTTAAAAATGGCTCCAGTGATGGACTACTAGTTTGTATTGAGATTGCACTCCATCACAGGAGCAAGCTTGGAGCGGTAGAAGTAAAAAAGAAAAGAAAAAAAATAGTGGTGTGCAATATAGTGAAAAGGAAAGTGTAAAATTATACAGCAATGAATGCAGAATGGCACCGACTATAGAGGACTACAAATCCCAGCAATAGTACATTATAGCTGGCGGTATTCTGCATTGCGCTGTATAATGTACTATTGCTGGGTTTTGTTGTCCTCTATAGCTGGTGGTATTCTGCATTGCGCTGTATAATGAAATATTGCTGGGATTTGTAGTCCTCTATAGCTGGTGGTATTCTGCATTGCGCTGTATAATGTATTATTGGTGAGATTTGTAGTCCTCTATACAGCTCAGTGCAAAATATCACCAGCTACATAGGAGATCCCAGTAGTGTATAATGTATTCCTCTATAGCTGATGGTACATTGCTCTGTATAATATACAGCACAATGTACCATCAGCTATAGAGGAATACAAATCCCAGCAATACATTATAGAGCACCATGTGTGGGAAAGTGCAGGATTAACTGAGCAGTCTTCCAGCAACTTGTTTCTGAGATGGGACCTATCGGCGGCTGTCATCCGCCCACACCTGCTCCTCCTTACTACATCTCCCCTGGTCCCTGTGCCGATTGTGGATGTGGGCGGGCGGTGAGTGTGAGGCGGGGAGGAGGTGCGGCATGAAGAGCGTGGATGCTGGCGGGCGGGTCTGGCAGCGGCGAGCGTGAGGTGGGGAGGAGGTGCGGCGCGCAGCGTGTGTGGAGCCGTGAACAGGGCCAACTGATCAGTAGCCGATTAATCGATTATTGAAAAAGTTGACAACTTTTTCAATAATCGATTATAATCGATTATGTCGATTAGTTGTTGCAGCTCTACTGTTCACACCAGAGCGGTGTGTCGTTTGTCGCATGAAGCTTCATAAAGGTACACAAGCTTCTTTTGAGGCAGAATCATGTGCTTTTGGTCCCATTCACACAGGGGCTTATGCTGAGAGTCCTGCAGCAAGAACCTACGGATCTATCCTGCATCCAGGCACAATCATCTATCCCAAGGTAATCATTCCATGCAGAATTACATGTGTGCTGCTGCTGACAGATGCGGTCACCCTCTTATTTACTTGAATGGGTACAGCAGTCACATCTGAACAGGGACACCTGGAATCCCTGGCACAAAATCTGCAGTTTCTTGTTGCAGGAATCCCTGGAAAACAAAAAACTCCTCTAAGGCCCCATTCACATTTGCAGTTAGGGCTATATGTAAACTCCAGCAGAAAGAACTTGTGGCTTCTGGCGGCCAGAATGACAAGCGTGTGCGAACAGCTGTTGCCGCTCAGCCTATACAAAGCAATGACAGGCTGATGGTAGCTGTTTGGATCTAATCGGACACTCATCAATTACATGCGGTTAGGGACAGATGACCATCTATGGACGCAGTCTGTTTGCATCTAGGGTAGATAATCTGCCCCTAACCGCAGCCACCATCAGCCTGTCATTGCTTAGTATAGGCTGAGCGGCCACAGCTATTCATTCATGCCTGTCATCCTGACTGCAAGTTCCTGCCATGGAATTCACATATAGCCCTGGTTACAAGTGGGAATGAGGCCTGATTGACCTGGCTATGCTCATGCTTAGCGTGAATGAGACCTGAATGACCTGGCTATGCTCATGCTTAGTGTGAATGAGGCCGGATTGACCTGGCTATGCTCATGCTTAGTGTGAATGAGACCTGAATGACCTGGCTATGCTCATGCCTAGTGTGAATGAGACCTGAATGACCTGGTCATGCTCATGCCTAGTGTGAATGAGGCCTGAATGACCTGGCTATGCTCATGCTTAGTGTGAATGAGGCCCTCGGTCCACTCTTTATAGAACAATTAGTTATTTGTGCAGGAATGACACTTCCCAGTAATAACATTGGAGACACATGACAACAGAACAGGATCTCCTAGGCCTGCTATGAGATAAGGATGCTGCTGCCCATGTACAACTTCCTCCAATCTACCCCTGGCCTGGTAGGGTTCACAGGTACCAGTTACACAATTCAGAAATGACAGGGAACACTTCACACCGATCTGTAGATTTGACCTTGACAGATGGAGCATATGGCAGTCTTATCTCAATCTATGTACTAACATCCAGCATGTATACATAGTGCATCTCTCTACAGAGAAGTCATCGCCTGATTATAGGGGGCAGATGAATTATCCGGTGTGTTGGCAGATCTCATCACCCAATGTTATTTACCTCTACACAGCCTGGTGCTGCGATCGGTGGCATCACTCTGCTGTTATCGGGCTGTCTATGGTATTACACACAGGCTGGACTGAGCTCCCCTCCCCTCCAGTACTCACTCTGCATAGCCGGTGATCCACGGTAACCTCTTGGTCTCCTTTAGGATGAGGATGGGTCTGGCGATGTGGTCGGCCGAGCACTCGATCTCGTCCTGTGACAGCCCCAGGAATTCGGGTCTGACATATGGGAACTTCATAGGTAAGTCGGAGCCATTGGAATGATCGGAGCCCGAACTGCCAGCCATGATTCCACCCATTAAATTGGCCACCGCAGATTTCATTCGGGTGAGCATATTACAGGAGGAGACCCGCCGGAGGGAGCATGAAGAAATCAGCAGGCAGATCGCCCTTCCCCTTGTGTGGAGCCCGGCATGGAACGGGCCGCCAGCACCGATCACACACGGAAATCAACGTGAGAAATACGAGCTCCAGTTCTGCGGATCGCTAGCGCTCACTGAGCCACTAAACCTTGGATCATGTGACAGGCGGCCAGTCATGTGACCAGCAAGCGGCTGTGACTGTTGGGAGGTGTGTGTGTGCTAATACTGCCTACCTGGGTGGAATCCCTGTCACAGCTCTGTGATGATGACACAGGCCTGGGACATTGGAAGAAGTGGACTACAATCCCTGAATGTCACCTCATGCATCAGT